GAAGATATGGGTTTAAGCATCAGTGAAAGTTGAGAGAGCTATCCTGGGCGGCCACGCAAACTTCCAAAAGTACACACATTATTGACCACAGAAGTCAGGACAGAAATGGGCTTATCCGTACATTTTGTTATGCATTTTTATTTTTTTTATTTTTAATTACTTTTATGTGTATGAGTGTTTGGCCTGCATGTATATAAGTGCACCCATCCCGTGCAATGCCTGTGGAGGTCAGAAAAGGGCATCGAATCCCCTGGAACTGAAATTAAGGGCGGTTGTTAGCCACCTTGTGGGTGCTGGGAATCAAACCCAAGTCCTCTGCAAGAGCAGTCAGTGCTCTTAAACACCAAGTCTTCTCTCCAGCCCCAGTGATATGCATTTTGAAACGAGTATATTTTGGTCCACATTTGAAATTATAGTAAGAGCAGTCTGTGTGGCACTTAAGGGGAAACTGGAAAGGAAAGGTGACGGCGCTTTGGAAGATAACGGAGAAGTGTATCAGGGAGTTCCACACAGGAAGCTGCAGCACCATCAACCACACAAGAAAGCCATTAGGACGTGAACATGTAAAGAAAGGGAATTCCTGTTCATGGGAATGTTTAGTAAAAAAATAATGTAAAATGACTAGCATTTTGGTAAAAACATTCCATCAAACACAGGAACCCAAGACCAATGACTTGCAGAATATGAAAATGTAATGGATGGATGACAAGAATGTGTCCTATACGTCAGTCTTCCAGGTACACACTCTTTGTGTTGTCTGTGCAGAGCTGCTGACATTAGGAGCTAAAAGAACCATGTCTTGAGATTTCCCTGACCTGAAGTCCACTTTGCCAGTGGAATTTTCCAGGAGGTTAAGTGTTCTTTGTCTAAGATTAGACATGAAAATACTTTCCAAGTATTGAGAAACTATGTTGGAATTATGCAATATGATGAGGTGAAGCTAGGGCTGGTTGGCAGGAGAAAAATTATGAAGAAATCAGTTCTGCAAACAATAATGCGATCACCACCTGGAGCAGAGAAATTTCACTGCTCCTAAAATGCATAAACTTTACTATGGATTTAAGAGAGAGTCCACCCAAGATCAGAATAATGACTAAGTCAGATCAGCCAAGACAAATTTCTAAACATAGAACACTGAGCAACACAAATGAGTTTTGAATGGAGCCTGAAATGTAGAGGTGGGTTGATTTTTACCATAACTATTATTAATGGTAAAAGCAATCTCCCATTTGAAATGGAATGACCATCACTCTCAAAAAGACTGAGAATCCAAAAGATACTAGACATAATTTGAAATTCAAAGCAATTAGGTATCATATTTAAATATTTGTCTGTGCATGAAAATACAAATAAAGCACAAATAATTTGAAGACTGAAAGTCACCTGAACTGAGTCGCTTCATTTCACAGAATGAAAAGGGTTTGCCAGTTGTGAAGATCACTGACTATACCATCATTGTAGTGATGAGAACATAATTTATGTCCATTTCAACTCTAATTGTATCTACCGATGCAAACAGTGATGCCTTTATGAAGCAGGATTTAAATTCTTAGAAATGAAGATTAAACGTGCATGCAAAGGAAATGTAAAGTAGACAGACTGACTCAACTCCTAGAAGTTTCATGAGCTGCCAATGAATTAGGTATGTGAATTACCCTAGTTAGTTTTTATTGTCAATGTCACACAACCTAGAGTCAAAAGGAAAGAGGAACCTTAAGTGAGGAATCTTCAAGATCAGATTAGCTGTGTCCTATCTGTGGGTCTTGACTTATGATTGGTGTGAAAAGATCCAGCCCAACATGGACAGTCCCTTCCAGAGCTGGTGAGCCTGTCAGTATAAGAAACCTAGCTCAACACTTGTGGAGCAAGCCAGCAAGCAGTTTCTTCAGGGTTCCTGCTGTAGGTTCCTGCCTTAAGGTCCTGACACCCACAGCCCTACTGAGCACCTGCATATTCTCCTTGATTCGCTTCTCTGTGAATCTCTTGGCCAGGACTACAACCCAATGCTGAATCTGGAAACGAAGGGCAATCAGGGCTGGCGTTCTCTTGTATATTTTTGTCATGGAAGCAAGAACCGGATCGTCCAGAGAACAGGGGAATTCTGATCCACCCTGGAGGGAAAGACAGAAACGTTAACTTCAGCCAACTATGCATTTGATTTGTTAGGAGACTTCCAATGAAGGTGGTCACATGGACCAGGGTTTCCAAATGTGGTCCCTGAATCTGCAGCATCACTGTAATCTTTAATTCTTCCCAGTATGAAAATTCTCAGACTGTTGGGATGGCTGTGTGCGTAGGGACAGCGGCCCTGCCAGAACAATACAGATCGGTTTCCAGCTTTCACATAGCCACTGACAACTTCCCTGCACTTCAGTACAGCACCTTCTTCTGGCTTCCCTGGGTTTGTTCACACATGGTACACTTACATATATGTAGGCAAAACACTCATATGCATAGAAAAAAAATAAAATTTTTTCAAAATAAAGAGTCTTGTTTCTACTTTAGTTCAGAATAAATTACAGAATATTTGGCACTACAGGGTGAAAAACAATCAACAATTGTTTCTTTAGATTTCATTGCTAGTCTCCATATTACCACATGGTCTCTGGGTGGCTTCCCAGAGCACTGTAAGTGACCAGAGCAATGTCTTTGGACTTGTGAAAATCTAGAACTTTTCCCTGGTTGAAATAAGGATGACATTCTATCTGTAAATAGATAAAATAGAAAAATGTCAATTTATATAACATTCGATATTAATATAAATTAGAAATGTTAAAAAGAAAAGAACTTCAATTAAGTAACCCTGTGTAATATGAAATTTGAATTGACTATATCAGCATCAAGCCTGATGTATTAACTCATGACTGTAAGCATAGCCCATAACAGGCTGAGACAGGAAGATTAGCATGTATTCAAGAAAAACCTGGACTACATGATGAGTTCTAGACCAGACTGACATACAGAATGAGACTCTGTCTCAAAAATGGAAAGAAATACATAAAAAGGAGAGTGAAGAAAATAGCATCAACTCACGATTATATGCTTTGATCATTGGCATATACTATTATAGGTAGGGACAGGTTTCTTAAAGATATTTACATAAAATATCCGTTATTTTGTCCATATTCACCCTCACCTTCCCATCCTGCTACCCCATCTGTTATTCCCATTTATTTATACACCAGATTTATATTTATATTTTTAAAATATATATTTGCTGTAAGAAAAAGTTGAAGAAATAACTTTTCTGAGATGAATCAGCTCTGTACCCATGATGATGTGTTCAGAATACGTGTTTCCTCTGTAAGAAGTCATAACTGAGTCTAGATGTGGGACAGGGAATGAGAATACTGAGCTTGGAATCTTCAATAGAAAAGGAATTTGATGAAATATTCATAAGGGATAAAAGAGTTAAAGAAACAGTTTGGTAGAGATTTTAGTGATGTCATCTGAATGTATTTTGCATTGAAAGGAAAAATAAATAAAATATGTCTTAATATATGCAAAAAGTTTAATTCTTATTAATATATATAATGTAAAGAGAGAAAGAGCAAAATTATACGCTCCTATGAATTGCTATAGTAGTTCTTTTCTCAAAACACCAATAAGGAAATTCTTTAGCATTTATTATATTTGTAGAAATAACTATAATTTGTCTAGAATAAATTTTTTAAGTAGATCATCAGGTAAGAAAGTAAATAGAAAGTAAAGTGAAAATGATTTCCAAACTGCAAATAATGAAGAATCAGGCAAAATCATTGATGTATTATCAAATATTCTATGAAAATAGGTCAGAAAATAGAAATTCATCTCAACAATTATTGTGCAAATTTTCAATGGTGGGAAATATATGTTTACAAACAAAACACATTCTATCTAGAACTAGCGTTATCACATAATCACATAGAACGTTGCTAACAGTGATGGTGGGACAATCTGTCATTACATCATACATATTTGGGAATACTTTGAGGGTTTAAGTACATTTTCTTAACTTTTTATCATTAATGTATTTCATCATTGAGCCATCTTTTATTTTGTGTAACTTTTCAGTAGTGAAACAAATATCTTTCATTAAAGTCAAGCATCTTGATCCATCTAGAACCCATTTAAATGTTATGTAGGAATAGATGAGTGACCAATCTAGCTTCTAAAGAACCAGAGAAACAATACAAAAAGCTGTAAACAACAAAGTTACCCTAGTGGGAAGATAAGTGTACAGAAATATGGTCAAGGCACTGGGAAACTTCATTATGAACTGAAAGTTGATAGAATAGTTGTGTGTTTCTTCAGTTTTCATAATGCAAATATAAACATGGAAGAATAATGAATCTATCGTCACTCTTAGGAGAGGCTATCTGAATTCAACAAGAGTCAGTGTTCATACCTGAAAATAAATTTGAAAGATTCATCTTCATGCTATTGAATATTGTATAGCGGCATAAGTAATCACACGCACATACCTACATTCGTCAACAGGAAAAATGTCAACAATTTTGGAAAAAAGAAATGCAGATTATCTCTATTATCCAATCAAATGTTCTAATGGCTTTAAATTGCTCACCATAAAAATTATGGGAAAACACATTTTAATAGACACTAAACTTTTTTAATTTAATATGTGAAAAAGACAATGTTGAATCACTATATACCCAATGAGTACAAAAATTATGTTATAATTTGCTATATAAGATTTTTATGACTGTGCTACATGTTGCTAAAAATAACTCAGCGAACAAGGCATAAACACAAAACATACGCTGTCATAATTTATTTACGGCAGAAACCAAGAGGAGAAATTGAAAAGTACTAAGGAGCAAGGTCAGATGAAAGCTTTGCTCAAAGCCATCCCCCAAATTGACATCTGACGTTAGGTGAGGAAGAAGGAAAGGAAAGGAAGGAATAATAAGGACAGGAGACTGGGTTCTCACCTGGTTGCACACAGCCTCGTACTTGAGCCCTGGCTTGTTCAGGATCACCTCCAGCTGCCTGCGGTTAAAGTTGGACACCCTGATGGACTTGGCCAGACCTGCATCCTTATACTTCTCCATGGCCTGAACAGCAAACAGATGCAGAACAAATAATTTATGTTAAAACTTATGTAAGTGAATAGATTTAATGTTTTAAAACACAATGTCGGTAAATGATAATGAAACTGCCATTGTTTACTGATCTTCCTAAAGCAAGAGACTCTAGATAAGCTGACTAGACGTGTGATGAACTTGCACAGAGGGACATTAACTGTCAGTGTTAGGCCTTAAGACAAATGACAGAATGTATGAATTCCAGTGAGGGGGAATGGGATGCTGCCAGTGGGGAAGGGGGTATAAAGATGATTAAAATTGATTGAGATGTTCCGTATGAAATACACAAAAGTTCAACTAAGAAAAGAAAAGTATTCAGGTATTGATAGTATTAACCACACAAAGGATCCTGTTTCCTTAGAAAACCAGAATCTTTACTGAATGATCATTTTCCCCAAACTGCTTCCATCATTTATGCTACATTGCATTTACGCCTGCGCCCCCACCTCGTGAACACAACAGCCCTTCTTAAGATCATTAGTTTTGCAACAAAGAAGGCACATGCCCCTCACAAATGGAGCTGCGACTCCTCTCCCTCTCCGCGTTTCCTCTCTGCACCCGAACCCTAGCACTCATTTCTCAAGTGTTGCAGAGATCACTGCTTCAAATTGAGTTTTCCAGGCTAGTCTGCTGGGAAGTCCTCATCTCCTGGCTGAAGTTGAAACAAGCATTAAAATAATCTCTCAACAAATGTGTTGCCCCACTGATAGCAACGCGTCCAGGTAAAGAGAGGCCTGGGAACAGAACCTCCGTCAGATAGATGGATCATATTTCAGGTAATTACACTCATCATGTGTTTTAAACATAGAAATGTAAGGAATGTCCTTGGGTTCCAGTGTTCTATTTTCTTACTCTTTAAGTTAATGATTTACTGATTGGTCCTTACAGAATGTTGTATTTGTCATTGCTTCTTACTTTTAGAAATGGTGGTCATGATCTCCATCAACAATAAAGTTCATTATTGACCCCTGGTGAATAGTCAGTATCCTTCATGTTTATTGTTCATTTGCTTGCAATGGCTCACACCAGAGGACTTTATAAAAGACAGTCACAGGAGGCTGATTCAAAGATCACTTTGGTAAGGTATAACACAAGGAATTTCAATTCATTAGCGTAAAAGAGTTGGAGTATTTTCTAAAATTAAACTGTTTTTACAAATTTATAGAAGATGAATTTAAATAACCAGGAAAATGGATGATCACATTGGCATCAGATAAAATATTTTTGGTGACCCAAGAAACTGTTTAGCTTGGATGTGGCTGGTTTGATAACGATGGAGCAAGGACACAGAGGGACATCTTGGCAACAGAAGTGGGTGGTCTGGGAGCTGTGGCAGTCTATCACCATTTAGTACCACATCAGAGTATTCATAAAATGGCCAATATCATCTACCATCCCCTGCGCATAGAATTCTGTACAAAACAGTTGGGAGTCCCAGTGAGTCAGGAGAAGACAAATTAAAATATCAGAGAGTGGCATAGATAAACGTTGAAGCAGAGAGTCCTTTCATTTCTTTCTAGAAAGAGGCAAATATGTATGACTTTTGCTTTCTGAGCTATGACTGCAGCTTCAGCCCAGCCTGAGTTTCTCAGCAGTATTAGGGTGACGTGTACAATCAGCAGAGGCTGAGGATCTGCCCAGGGCACTTCAGGATCCTACAGGGGCTTCCAGCAGAAGAGAGGCCAGGCCTCTGTGATCGTATTCATCAAAAAATGGAATGTTAGAGTGGCCAGCAGAACTGGAAAGGCAAATATAATGTGTAATGGATTTGAGGTTTCTGTGTTTAGCGAGAATGATCACTTTGTTTTGAAAAGAACGAGTCCAACTATACACTCTACACTAAGAAGTACTTTTCAGAGAAACAGATGACTATATATTTCATTTCATTCAGTTGATTAACTGTTGCTAACTGCCTAACAAACAATATACTCATTTTAATTCAGAAATAGACAGGAATGGACTGGAAAGATGACTCGCTGGAAAAAGTTCTTGTTGGACAAACATTTGACATAAGTTCAGGTCCATAGCACCCTTATAAAGCTGGGACACAGTAGTGAGCAACTGTAAAAGCTACAGTACTTCTACAGCAAGAAGGGAGGTAGACGATAAAATTCCTGCAAGCTTGCAGGCAGCCTGGATACAAAAAGGTAAACGACTGACTGTACCAAACTTGATGAAGACCATACCCAGGGTTGTCCTCTGACCTCCATGTGCATGTGATGGCATGACAGCACACACATGTGAATGTATATGCATTCACTCACAAGGATAACACGCACACAAACATTAAAAAAGAAAGACACAGAATATTGTGTATAAAATGAAACTGCATATTCAAGGACACAACTATAGAAGATCTCTGTACAGTAATAGACACACCAGAGATGCAGGGATAAAGATGGTTAGATGACCACTAATTTTTTTTTTTGAGATAGGGTCTTCTTGTAGCCCCAACTGTCCTAGAACTCACTATGTAGACCAGGCTGGCCTTGAGCTCACAAAGATCTGCCTGCCTCTGCCTCCCGAGTGCTGGGACTAAAGGTATGTGCCTGGTTGCTGTTCTCTCTTTGAAATATGTCTTTTTACTCACTTTTCCTTATAATGATGGAATCAGTAATACTGGTCAAAATATAGCTGGCAATATTTCATTGTATGTAATTGGACATTTCTCCCATCAGCTCTCATAGTTTATCACATCTACATTTATTTAGAAATAAATTTCCCAGTGTGAAGGAAATATATGCTACTTTTCTTTCCTCTATCTCAGTTTACAAGAAATGTAAATCATGAAGGAAGAGTAGGTTTCCTTGTAGGTGGTAACTTCTCTACAGGACATGCATCCTCTACAATATAATCTCAGTTAAAATCTTAGAGACTATAATTTCTTTTTGTAAATTTATTTTTGAGTGATTTATTTTTATTTTATGTCAATGAGTATTTTGCGTGCATGTATGTAAGTGTATCACTGTCCATGCAAATGCTCTAGAGATTGGGAAGAAGGTGTCAGATCCACTGGAACTGGAATCACAGATGGTTCTTAGTGATCATATGGGTGCTGGGCAAGCCAGTCCTCAGCAGGAGCAGCCAGAATTCTTAATGAACAAGCTATCTCTTGACCCCTTCTATAACTATTTAATCCTCTACATTGAGACCATCATAGTCCAGAAATCAATATCAAGTGAATTATTGAACCCATCAAGCCAGTGGTTGTCAACATGAATATGGTTGGTGGGCCCTGAACAAATGTGCAGAGATGAGGAAATGAAATTTTCAAACTACTAAAAACATTAAATTTTCTGAATTCAATGAACAATTTTATAGGAAGGAAATAACTCAGACTGCAGATGTGGTATTCATAAATTTAGTACAAACAAGAATTAAGCAACATTGGAGAAACTGATTTTGATAATGCTTCAATGGGCTTGATGAAATGCCTGGAGTGCTTATCCTCAGCACATATAGATCAGACATCCAGCCGTAAATCCAGCAGTGATGCTGGCCGACCCAGAGCACTCCAGGAAGTGGGAGCAGAGCTGTAGGAGCAGCAGATCCACCTGACCCTGGGTCATTCACCCTGCTGCAGGGACAAAGGACAGAACTCTGCATAAACTGGAGAAAGTTCTAGAAAGCTTTTATCTCATTCTTGATTTAAAATTACCTTTGTGCCTTTTCATTGAATTGAAGTAAATTTTTTTTAAAAATATTTTATTTGAGCCAGACGTGGTGGCGCATGCCTTTAATCCCAGCACTCAGGAGGCAGAGGCAGGTGGATCTCTATGAGTTCGAGGCCAGCCTGGTCTCCACAGCAAATCCAGGCCAGCTGCGGCTACAGGGAGACCCTGTCTCAAAAAGATATATATATATATGATCAGAAGGAAGAGTTTTAGCAATATGAAATGGCATGGACAAGAGAATAGCTAAAGCGTTATCAATAATCAGTAATAAGCAGAGCCTTTGGGGGGGTTTCGTTGGTTTTCTGGAACTGGAGTTAAGGACAGTTTGTAGCCACTATGTGAGTGCTGGGAATCGAACTCGGGTCCTCTGCAAGAGCAGTCAGTGCTCTTAACTGCTGAGCCATCTCTCCAGCCCCTGAATTGAGGTAAATTTTAACAATCTGTTATATTCAACTCAGAAAATAAATTGAATAAAGCATGTTTACTAAAGTTACTTACTCCTGAAGAGTCAAGTACCAGACATTTCTGTTCAGGCCTTCAAGGACTTTCATGTCCTCTGAAGTCAATTGAAATTCAAAAACCTATGCTACAAATGGGAAATGTTACTGTTGAACAAAGGCAGGGACCCAACACCAACATCTTGCAGAGTAGGAAAAAGCAAGACACGGAGTCTAAGAATGTGTCCCCTAGTTCAGTCCACTGGGTACACACTGTTTTGTGTCTGCATAACTGCTTACATTAGGAGCGGGAAGAAGCTGTTTTCATGTCTTCAGACTTCCTTGACCTGCAGTCCACTTTGCCATGTGAATTTCCCAGAAGGTTTAGTGTCCTGATCTAAGATTAAACCTGAAAATACTTTAAAAGTATTCAGAAATATCTTGGAATTATGCAGTTTTATAGGGAGAAGTCAGGGCTGGTTGGTAAGAGAAAATTAAGAAAAATGCAGTGCCAACCCTGTTAACAATAGTACAGTCACCACCTGGACCAGAGAACCTCTCTACCCAAATGCATAAGAGGCTTCATTACAAATATAAGAAGGAGCCCAGCCAAGGTTAGAGTGACCTGACTGAGGCCCAAATTTCTAACTGTAGTATAATGAGCAACATAAATGATTTTTATATGCAGCCAGAACTTAGGGGTGGACTGATTATACCACAGCTATTATTAGTGTTAAAATATTCTCTCACTTGAAATGAAGCAACAATGACTCTCAAAGAATGCAGGACTTGACAAGATAATTAGAATAACATAAAATTCACAGTAATAAAATGCCAGAGTATTAAAATTTATGTGCTCAGGAAAATACAAAATAAAACATGAATGATTTGAAAACTGAAGATCACTTAGTCTATGTTCCATTATATCAGAAAATTCAGAAAAATAAATGTTACTTGTACAGGATTTTTGACTATACCATCAACATGATGAGAACAAAATTTATTTTCAGTTCAAATCTAATTGTATCTATCAATGCAAACAATGATGTCTTTACGAAGCAGTATTTAAACCCTTGGAAATGTTCATAAATTACACAGCCATAGGAATACACAGCCCCACTCTGAATCTGGAAATGAAGGGCAATCAGGGCTGGCATTCATTTGTATTTTTTTGCCATACAAGCAAGAATTGGATCGTCCAAGAGAACAGGGGAATTGGGGTCCACCCTGGAGAGAAAGACAGAAACACTAACTTCTGCCACCTGTGCATTTGATTTGTCAGGAGACTTCCAATACACATGAAGGTGGCCACATAGACCAGGGTTTCACAATGCGATCCCTAGACCTGCAACATCACTGCCACTCTCTATCCATCCTTCTTCCTAGAATGGTATTTCCCCATTTCTAATTCAAACCAGCATGAACTCCAGAAAACGTCATACTATGGGTGAAAAATATTTAAGCAACAATTTTTCTTTAGTTTTAATTCATATTTTCTATATTACCGAAGTTTCAGTCACTGGGTTCCCAGAGCACCGTAAGCAACCAGAACAATGTCATTTGACTTGCAGAAATCCAGAAGTTTTCCCTCATTGAGATAAAGATGACATTCTACCTGTATATAGATAAAACAATAATATCAATTTTCATGACATATTAGTAATAAAAAAGAAATATTCAAAGAAAAAGAAGCTAAATTAGGAAACCATGTGTAACATCAAATTGGAATTAAATATATGAACATCAAGCCTGGTATGGTTCCTCACAAATATAACTCAAGTCCATAAAAGACTGAGACAGGAGGTTTATGATGTATTCAAGGAAAATCTGAACCACATAATAAGTTCTAGGCCAGCGAGGTGTACAGATTGAGACTCTGTCTCAAAAATCAAAAGAAAAGACTAAAAGGAAAACAGGAAATAGAAAAGAGAAGAAAGAAAAAAGCATTAATTCATAATCATATATTTTGATCATTCACATATATAGATTGCATGTAAGGATGGGTTACGTATAAAATATATTTTCTACCATATTTGCCATCATTTTCCCATCTCCCTACCTCATCTGTTATTGCCACTTATTTATAAACCAGATTTTATATATGCATATGTGTGTGTGTGTGTGTGTGTATACATATATATAAACAAAAGCTGATGATGGGTTGAAAACACCAATTTCCTCTATGAAGACTCATGACTGGGTTGACATATCGAACATGTAATAACACTGTGGTGATTTGAATGAGAATGTATCCCCATAAACTCCAAGTATTTGAATGCTTGGTTCCCAGTTTGTGACACTGTTTGATTGGGGGGTGGGCAGCATGGAACCTTCAGGAGATGTGGCCATGATGGAGGAAGCACTTCCTGTGCTCCTAAGCCTTGCTAGATTTCCAGTTGCTCTCTGCTTCCTGTGCCTGCTAGAATATGTGATCACTCAGTTCTCTGCTCCAGGCCCCTCTGCAGCTATGCCTTCCTCACCATCATGGACTCTAGTCCTCTTGAATCATAAACTCAAATAAACTTGTCCTTCTTTCATAAATTGTCCTGGTCACACTGTCTTATTACAGAAACAGAAAAATAACTAACACAACATTACTGAGCTTTGACAACTGCATAGAACACTAAAGCAAGAATTTGATCAAATATTCATAAAGGATAAAGAATTAAAGAACCACCTTCATAGAAATCTCAATAATGTCATCTGGATAGATTTTAGTACTGAAAGGAACAATAAGTAAAATAAAATCTAATACATGCAATAAATAAAATATCAATGATTTCCTACCAATGTGCATGAGATAGAGAGAGATAGAGACAGAGAATGAAAATCTCCTTGTTCCCAAGTGCGGGTAGCTACTCCGCAATGCAACTCGGTTCCGACCTGCAGAACTTCCACCTGGGTACCTGGATTGGGGGGCGGGGCCGTGGATGGAGCAAGCGATAAGCGAAATGGAGACAAGACAGGAGCCTGATCAAGTCTCGTTTATTGAAGCTCAAGCAAGAATTTTTATAGAGAATGAAAACAAAGGAACACAGACTGCAAACCATACATCAGTCAGAGCATAAGGGCTCTGACGCACATTAAAGGAGGAATCTCTGATTAAAGTAGAATAGAACCGTATGTAGAAAAAAGAGCAAGGCCGTGGGCCAAGGCTATCTAGCAAGGCTATCTGGCCCCGGCTTTAAGCCAAGGTTTTGGGCCAAAGTTGTAAGGCCCAGCTGCGAGCCAAGGCCGTGGGCCCCAGTTGCCTGCCAGAGTTTCCAGGCCAAGGCTGCGGGCAAAATGGAAAGCTGCCAGCTCAGGCCTGTCAGCAGTTTTGAGAGGTAGCTGAGACTCAGTTGAACCTCAGGCTCCCAGGCTCCCAACATGGACTTTTGAAACATGTTTTGCAGGACCCTGAGATGAGATAGAATGAGGACCTTATTTCTATTCTCCAATTACATATTTGAAAATTTCATTTTTTAATATATGAGATATATAAAAACTATTTATCTCTTTGTTTTGGGATAGAGCCAAGTTACATAGAAACATTTGGCTTGGAACTGATAATCCTCCTGCCTCATTTTCCCAAATGCTGGCTTATGGGCATATGTTATGCCTAGCCCTACATAAACCATTCTGTGTTGTTCCTTTTGTTATTACCATTTTGCGTATTTCAAGGATTTTCTACATAAGAACTAAAAACTTTAATGTGGCTTAATGTTCCTATTTTATCATTTATTTTGCCTTAATCCTAACAGCTACCATCGCATAG